AAGGTAAGAATTTTTTTTGTGATTTAGAAGTATTTCTTTCAAAGAAAGTTTGCCGCGCAAGCGTTTGGGTGATGAAGACCATGATTGTTTTGCAATATATTACTTAATAAAGTAACTATTTAATAATAAATATACTTATTCATAACTAAAAAATTAAGTTTTGAACAATTTTTAGTTCAATTTAGCTTTAGATAAATTAGGGGTTCACACATTGTGAAACCATAGTGCATGGTCTGCGACACTCAAAGCTCTACACTAGTGAAAATTATTAGAAAATGCACAGAAAAAATGATATTTCCTTAATAAATAATCTCTGGCAACACATTTTTGCGTTTAGGTACTATTTGTTCGCAAGGCGTGTTGTGCAAGAAATGGCGGCCATTATAAATTCTGAATAAAATAGAGATTTTCTGTATTTTTGCGCTTTATAAATTGAAATATTATAAATGATTAAGTGTTTTGATGTGTGCACAATTAGAGTAAAGTTTCATTGGTAAGTCTAGTAATTTATTATAATTTTTCATTAAAGTTCACATACAAAGACTCATAGTTTTGTTTTTTAATACTTCAAGAGTCAAATATTTTTGAAAAAAGTAAACTTTGAGAATAGAAAATAGAGTATATAATCATATTAACAAAATACTTTGATAAATTTTGGGTAAGAATTATGTGTTGCTATGCAGGTGTACATCTTTCAAGGTCAGTTTGCCGCGCTGCACACGCAATGCATTTTGGGTAATAGAGACCATGTTTGTTTTGTAATATATTACACTTTTGAGATAGAAATAATAAAATAACTATTTATTAATAACATTTTATATTGATAAGTTAAATTTCACGTTATAAACAATATTGAGTTCAATTAAGCTTTAGATAAATTGAGGGTACACACCATGCAAATCTAAAGCGCGCGACCAGCAATACTCTCAAAGCTTTTCAGCGGGCAGAAAATGTACTAAAAAAATTATAATTTTGCTAATTAGTAATTGCTGTCATTATTATTAATTCAAATTAATTAATTTAATTTAATTAATTTAAAAAATTTGTTAATTTTTAAATCTGCCCTCTTGTTTTCGTTCCGTGAATTATACCCGAATAATATTTATCGCGGTCAATTTCTTCCGAGAAATCGAATCAGGTACCACCACCTTATCCCTTCTCCTGCCTTGATCGACGTGCAGATTTAGTTATCGACCGGCCGTGGTGTGATACTGTTCGATCAATTATTTCTTGTGCTCTATACCGTGAACATTAATTTGATCTATTAGCGCAAATAGTGAGTTTAATCATTGTGAAATTAGACAATGTTATAGTGAAGAATACTTCGTTGGATTTAAGGTAATTTTTTTTTGTTATTTAGATGTATTTCTTTCAAAGACTGCTTGCCGCGCGAGCGTTTGGGTGATGAAGACCATGATTGTTTTGTAATATTTTACTTAAGAAAATAACTATTTATTCGTAAATCTACCTATTAATAACTAAAATATTAAGTTTTGAGCAATATTAAACTCAATTAAGCTTTAGTTAAATTAGAGGTTCACACATTGTGAAACTATAGCTCATGGCCTGCGACACTCAAAGCTCTACACTGGTGAAAATTATTAGAAAATGTACAGAGAAAATGGCATTTCCTTAATTATCCTTAATCTCTGGCAACATATTTTTGCGTTTATGTACGATTTGTTCGCAAGTTGTGTTTGTGCAAGAAATGGCAGCCATTATCATGTTCTGAATAAAATAGAGATTTTCTGTATTATTGCGCTTTATAAATCGAAATAATATAAGTTATTAAGAGTCAAATATTTTTTGAAAAAAGTAAACTTTGAGAATAGAAAATGGAGTATATAATCATATTAACAAAATACTTTGATAAATTTTGGGTAAGAATTGTGTGTTGCTATGCAGGTGTACTTCGTTCAAGGTCAGTTTGCCGCGCTGCACACGCAATGCATTTTGGGTTATGGAGACCATGTTTGTTTTGCAATATATTACACTTTTGTGATGGAAATAAAATAACTATTTATTCATAAACTTTTCTATTAATAAATTAAATATCAAGTTTTAAACAATATTAAGCTCAATTATGCTTTAGATAAATTGAGGGTACACACCATGCAAATCTAAAGCGCGCGACCAGCGATACTCAAAGCTTTTCAGCGAGCAGAAAATGTACTAAGAAAATTATAATTTTTCCTAATCAGTAATCACCGGCAACACTTTTTTGTGTTCAGAGAATAAAGAATCGAAAATTTTAATACAAGACAATAAACATTAATCCATTTTTATATTGATGATTTTCATATATTATATAAATTTCTATTTTTAAAATTAAATAATTAGACTTAGTTAAAACACTGGTTATTGAAAGTTTCCAGTGGCGTACTTAAAAAAAATTAGTATGGAAATTAATTAACAAAACTATCTAAAAACTATTTAAATGTAAAATTTGAATTATTATATAATATGCGTAGTGCGCAAAAACTATTTTTGTTGTAAAACATTGCCAAATTAAAATGTCTGTGGTGTCAATATTCGAATAATTTTCAATATCATTAATAATACAAATTGCGTTATCAACATAATTTTTCTCAGAACATAAACATTTTCAGTTAATTACAAATCAACAATAAATCAAAATTATTATATTTTCTTTGTATATATAAGCAATAAACATTTCTCAATCATAGAAGCAATAAACAGCTTTCATATAAGGCAATAAGCATTACTCACCAAAATTTATTTAATTTCTAGTATGAGGAATAATCAACAAAACTATTTAAAAACAAAAACAATATAAAAGTATTATTCGAATAAGTATATAGTATGCCTAGTTTGCGAAAAATATTTTTGTTGCAAGAAATTGCCAAATTAACATATCTTATAGAAAAAGAAAAAAAATCATATATGGTAATAATCATTACTCACCAATGTTTATTGATTTTTTTTTTAACTAAATAAATAAACTTAATTAAAACATCGTCAATTAAATTACTAATAAAGTAGATATTATTAGAGCAAATAAAATTGTAAGGTTTCCAGTGGCGTACTTAAAAAAATATAGTTTGGGAAATAATCAAGAAAACTATTTGAAAACAGTATAAAAGTAATATTCGAATAATTGTATGGTATGAGAAGTGCGTGAAAAATATTTTTATCTCATGGCATTAACAAATTGAATTATTGCAAATATTCGAAATTTTTATCTTAAAAACTTAATAAATAAACCCAATTAAAATGCCGTCAATTAAATCACTACTAAAGTAGATATTATGAGGGCAAATAAAAAATAGGTTTCCAGTGGCGTACTTAAAAAAACATAGTTTAGAGAATAATCAACAAAACTATTTAAAAACAGTATAAATGTAAAATTCAAATAATTATATAATATGCGTAGTGTGCAAAATCAATTTTTGTTGTAAGGCATTAACAAGTTCAAATTATAGACTGTGTTAACTTTTTTTGAAGGTACAATTTTTTTATTTTTTTCATTAATTCTTTTATTTTTCACAATCTGTCTTTGCATAACGAAAGAAAGAGATTCAGTAATTTTGAGCCTTGTAGGTACTAAATAAAAATAATTTTTATTATAATACAATAATTTATAGTTTTCTATGAATCAACAATGAATAAAACTGGTTAAGATATTTTTTATAGATAAGTAGTAACAAACATTGCTTACTGAAATTATTATTGAATTTTTGATTATATCGCACCTCATTTTTTTATTTCTATTTCTATTTCTACCGCATCATTATTCTTCGACTAAAAGCAAATCATGACACGTATTGAGCAATTTGGGGGTATATTCAAACAAAATGTCCATTATATAAACTGAAAATATACATGGCAACAATTGCACATTCGATTCAAACGCAGGTGCCATATATCAGCCGACCTTGTATATAAATCTACCGGCGGTCCGCCCGCCAAAGGGAGGGAGTGCGCTCTTAAAATCAGACTCACAATTAACTCTTTCTGTGAATATGTGAGTTGGGTTTGTTTTTTTTTAAATTTATATAACATTTTTTTTTGTGGAACGAGATAAATGTAATGAATAAGGACTAAAAATTCAAACTCGCGTTTTGGACAACCTGATATCAAGCAGTAGTAATACCCACTTTTATCCAAATGTATGTTTCTAAGTTAAAATAGCCATTCACGACATTGCTGCTACCTTAAAAAATTTTTATTACTATGAAAAAAGTTCTATTAAAATTTATATAACAAATTTATATATCAAATATTGATAAGACAATAGAATTGCAATTGAGAAGGGTTATGCATGGAAAGTCTATATATTATATTACATTACGTTGTTTAGTCTTGCATTTGTACATATTGTGTAGAGCTTCGAACAGATAATTCAGTGATAACAAAAGTAATTAGTTTATCGCAATATCATATTCCTACAACATCGAAGGAACAAAAATTCTTGTATCACATGACACACTCGAAAAATAACATATCTAATTACTTCAAAAATTTCCAATAATTAACTCTTGTTGGATTATATAATATTTTGTTATATAATGCATTCATTTATTTTGATTACACACACAGACACACACACATATATATATATATATATATATATATATATATATATATATATATATATATATAAAGGTGATCTGCTCGAAGGCAGGTCCATGGTGTGAGTGCACCTCAAACCAATGATTTTCTTTAAAACAACAAATAAAGAACTGTTGAGGAGGGTGAGACAAGACAGAACTCTACTGAACACGATCCTGAAAAGGAAAGGAAACTGGATTGGACCCATTCTGCAAAAAGAGTGCCTCCTACATGTTGTCGTCGAAGGTAAAATAGAAGGAATGAAATTATTAAAAAAAGAAAAATGCAGATGATTGACGACTTAAGCGAGAAAGAAAAAGGAAACTAGGTTGGACTCAGTCTGCAAAAATAACGTCTCCTACATGATGTCGTCGAAGGTAAAATAGAAGGAATAAAAAGATTAGGAAAAAGAAGAATGCAGATGATTGATGACTTACGTAAGAAGAGAAAAATACAGGGAACTGAAGCCGAAGCACATGACCAGAAAATATGAAGCAGGAGTTGGGAAAGGAAAATGCATAAAGGAAAAGGAAACTAGATTGGGCTCAGACTGCAAAGAGAGTGCCTCCTACATGATGTCGTTGAAGGTAAAATGGAAGAAATATTAAGATTGACAGGAAGAAGAATGCAGATGATTGATGACTCACGCGAGAAGAGAAACTACAGGGAACTGAAAGCCGAAGCACATGGCCAGACAAGATGAAAGCAGAAGTTTGGAAAGAAAAATAATAGGCTTAAAAGTGATTAATAGTAAAAAATTGTAATGGAAAAAATAATCAAAGGAGGGAATAGTCAATCGGACAGTCATTTATTATTATTCTTATGTAATTATTATTATATTTATTATTGTTATTATTATTATATTATAATAAAATTAACTTTACTTACGGCAATATATACAAATCATTAAGTGATATTACAAAAATAACGTTTACTCCTAAAGCAATCTAAACCACTTGAAACTCAACAATAAGAAAACACATACTGTAATTCGAGAGTTTTACCATCTCATCGTGTGACTTGTAAATAAACAAACAGGATCTGGTTTTACTCTCAATATTCCTATGACAATATCCCATTCGTAATATCAGTATGTTAATCAACAATCCTCAGAGTTAAAAAAACAAAACAAGCAGATTTATTAGGATCTAGCGTTGTGCGAGATTGCATCGGCAAGTTGGTACATTTACATATGATAACCGCTACACACTCGTTTATTCCCTTGCGTTTCATCTCCGAGGGAAAAGGATACGACAAAAGGCAGGAGGATGTAATTAAAAATATTTTTTCATTAGCATGAAATTCGGTTTAAAATTATTTACGACAGTCGGGCGAATCAATGTTGCATTAAAAAGTTAGCGGGTAGGTGTACACTAGGGAGCACGACCTACGAAGTTGGTCCGACCGCACTATGGAAATGACATTTTTTTAGAGGAAACGGGAAACCATTCCCTGTTGATACATTTTTTTGTAAACTTTCATAATAATTTTTCAACTATGTAAACCACATTAATAAATGCACAAATTTAAAATTCAACTAAATTATGTAAAGTGTTGTGCCTAGTAATAATTTCCTATATCCTTCGACTATTAATTTCCTATATCCAGACAACCTTACATCGTGCAGCAGCGATGTCCATTTTCACTTGAAAATATAGATTAAAATATGTTTCCAATTGAAAATAACTCATTTCGGGCACTGCGATGTGGAATGGCAATGGGAAATCTTTTACACTATTTTTTCTTGAAACGAGTTGGAGTTTAACTTAGCTCACAGACCTACCCTAAAATAGTACTACGCTTTATTTTTTTTATTATTTTCTTTAATAGTAATTATACACAGATGAATTTTGTGATATTTTTACAAAAAACATTTTTTTGGAATTTGTGCAAAAAACAGAATTATTGCAAATTAGTGGACTATCATGTTTTAAAATTTATGGACAATCGTAACTTCATTATCTAGTGATAATATGTTTGATTACAAAAACTTTGGACTAGTAAAAATAAAATAAAATTCTTGAAAATGAAGTGATCATTTTTTTTTTAATTTGTAGACAATCATAATTGAAAATAGAGAGATAATTAAAATAATAATTTAGGATTTATCAAAATTATTAATTAGATAAGTACATTGATTGACTGATTAATTTTATGATATGATATTTCACTGAGCTCCATAATTTATTAAATCATCAAATTATTTAAAATTTAATGACAATCACAAAATTTATTAGTATTGGTAAATAGTATTTATAAGAATTAGTAACTAATATGCGTACATAAATTTTCAAATATTCAGTAAAAATATAAAATTAATCAATCGATCAATGTACATTATGTAATTCTAATAAATCCTAAATGATTTCAATTATTTCTCTGGTACCATTTATATTAATGCTGATAAATCCTATATTTTTTCTAATCATGTATTATTCTAGTTATTTCTGAAATATCATTTATGATTTGTCGTCTACAAATTTAAGAAAATTTAATGATATGTTTTCAAGAATTCAACTTTATTTTTACAAAATTCCAAATTGTTTCCAATAAATTAAATTTACTGATGCTAAAAAATTTATGATTGTCTGTAAATTAAAAAAAAGATGATAATCTACTAAATATTCAAGAATTATATTTTATCTCCACACAAATTCCAATTTTTAAAATTTCATTCTAATTCTGGCTCTACAAAAATATAATTATTATTTATCATCAAGTGCCTATACATTTTTTTAAATTAAATGAGTCATTTTGTTTTGGTACCAATTTTTATTTTGTAGTAGAAATATCAAAAATAATTAATAAATATATTAAATTACTACTGCTTATAAATTTTCCGTAGAAAAATAAAATTGTACAACTCCTAAAAATTTGCTAAGTCATGATTTTTTTTTAAGAAAAATTTTACAAAAAATTATAGTGCTGCTACAGTTTAAAAATTAATTTGTAAAAAAATAAAACAAATCATTTGAATATAAAAAAATTAATTATAGGCACTTGATCATATGTCATAATTATATTTTTGTAGAGGCAGAATTAGAACAATATATGTTTAGGAACTATGATCAACTGACCAATCAGTGATCGCGGCATCGATATGGTATGATGCAGGTATAAAAATTCCTCGATCGCCGTCCCATCTAAACACATACACATATGCTAATATATACATATATGCCACACATGTGCCATTTTATAACACGTGCCAGACACACGCGCACATGTAGCACACATGTAAATAATTTTTGGTACACAATACAGTCATTTACACAATGTTTAGCAGAGACACATATTTCATTACTGTAAACTTTACATTTTTTCCTTTAATATTGTTGATTACAAGATTTATCTACTTATTATGTTCTTAAAAAAAAGCGTGATGATGATTCGCAATTTGGACTTTACCGTGACGTAGTAGTTAGAGCTTTGGGTTTTGATTAAGAGATTTAAGCCATGGTGACACCGGTTTTTGTTTGAAAATTTTGTTAGCAATATGTATCCAAATGAAAATATCCTTTACTCGCTATTTTTTTTAAATTTTACATTTTTTCAATTTTTTTAATGTTGTTTATTAGTATTAGTTTGAACTATGGTCTTTGATTAAAAGATTGCAGGTTTGACACCCGTCTCGGATAGCCTGATGTCAAGCTGTAGTAACATCGGTTTTTACTTGAAAATATATATATAGCAATGTTCTAAAGTAAAACAGCTCTTACGCTGCATTTCTGCATTAATATAAAATTCATCAGTATTACAGAATTTGTAATAATAAATTCATCACATAAAGATAGCACAACCTTTGGTTTGACATTTATTAAAAAAAAAGACACTCGACTAAAGTTTTGAATGCTGTTTAAAATATAATAATGAAAAAACCAATTTATTGAAAAAAAAAATGTTTTTGTTCAGAACCAATAAGAATGAACAACAATTCAAGAATTTCCAAAAATCATTGGCGTAGATGCTGTTTCAGTAAATATTCAGTAAAGTTTCAGTAAATATTCTGTTTGAACTAAATGAACTTAGTAAAATTCGCAGTTAATTCCTAATTAAAGAATATATTTTTACTATTTTCCTAAAATTTGTCATCTATATCTTTTTGCTCCAGAGGCGGGCTAAGAAGGTACAATCAGGGGGTAAACAGATCCAACGTTGTTTTATAATTTTAAAAGAATTTTACGAAATAATAGCTACATTATTTAACCAATGTGTAATACAGATATTATGGGAACATTTTTCACAAAGCTTTCATTTTACATAACCTTGATCTGGTATTTCGAAAAAAATATTTATCAGCAGAAGTCGAATAATTATTATTCTAAATTATCTCTTGTAAAATTGCTTTTTGTAACTTAATTTACTATTTTTTATTGTTTACATCTTTGCCAATGTGAAGGTTTAGTTAGCTTTTTTTACCACACCCACGTGTAAGCTTCTAGTAGAGGTTATATAAAAAAACGGTTAAAACTAACTTAAAAATAACAATATACATCTTACAATACAATTAACGTAAACTTAAAAATTATATTAAGGTCTCGCAAACTAAACAAAAGTGCTCACAACCAAATAAATCAACAATGAAAGAAAATCTTGGTACGCACCTAGAAAAATTGTAACAAAATCAGTAATCTCATTTTAAATAATATAGATATGCAAACATTTTCATTTTAGATTTATTTGCGATTACTATAACTTGCCCTAAGGGAAGGTGAAAAATTCGTAACTTTACTTGTTTTGAGGAGATATCAGTGGTGGACCTTTTTACCCGTGGATCACTAAGACCCGCTCTACATTTTTATGATATGATAATACATATTTAAATTTCATTCAAGCAAGTTTTAACAAAACCATGAATGATATTGAATCTATATTCTTGATCCTTTTTTTATCGTAAGCAATTGAGATTTTGACTTTATGTTGGTAGAAACTGGCAAGCGAATTTCTGTCCTCTGTACCGCTTAACGCGAAGATGTGTCGCGGACTAACACCGCGCAGTCTGATGAATTTCGTTAGAATATTAAAACATTAATAAATATTAAAGTGAATCGTCGGAAGGGTTGTCGCTGCGGTTCGTTGACAATATAATGCGTTCTTCCTTCGTGCCACAGAGCGAAAACTCCGCCCGAAAGACAAAATTATGGAGAACGGAGCGAAGGCACGGCAATCAACTTGATAAAATGTTATTTCGTGAATGAGAATCACATCTTAAGTAAATTTGCGTTAATCGATTTGATTACTAAATCAATGAGATGGTAGAGCAGCGGGGCTTAAAGGTCCGCGGGTAAAAAAGTCCACCACCAATATCTCACTTCCAAGTTAAGAATTTTTTAATATCAATATTTGAAAGTTGAGGGCAAAGGATTTATAACCAGCCATCACCTTGATTCTTATGACGTTGGTATCATGAGATAAATGGCAATGTTTGAAAATCCTTAACAAAAGTATTTTTTTTGTTGTTAGTTTTTTTGGTGTGAGCACTGTTGTTTAGTTTACGAGACTTTGATATAATTTTTAAGTTCACGTTATTTATGTGTTTTATAAGATGTACTGTTATTTTTAAGTTAAATTCAAAAGTTTTTTTATA